CCCTCTGCTTGTGTTCTTTCTCTCACTGTCTCTCTCTCTCTAATAAATAAATAAAATCTTAAAAAAAAAATAAAAAATAAAAGGGTAAGAGAAAATGGCCACAGGGATGCCTGGGTGGCTCAGTCGGTTAAGCATCTGCCTTCGGCTCAGGTCATGGTCCCAGGGTCCTGGGATAGAGTTCCTCATCGGGCTCCCTGCTCAGCAGGGAGTCTGCTTCTCCTTCCGCCTGCTCTGCCTGCCGCTCCCCCTGCTTGTGCTCTCTCTGACAAATAAGCAAAATCATTAAAAAAGGAAAAAAAAGAAGAAAATGGGCACAGATGGCTACATTCCCTTCTTTGGAAGCTAGTTTTAAAACCTCTGGCTTCTGGCTGAGGATCTCAGCAGAGAGGAAAAACAGGGTCCCAAGTGACAGAGTGGAGAACAACATTCTATGCTTCCAAATTCTGAGACCCCAATTTACTGGCTGTTGGCCTCTGACCTTGTGTAGCACCCTCATCTGTAAGATGAGGACAGCAAGTCCCAGAAGTCAAGCAGTTTACCCAAGTTTCTTAGCAAAGCAACCAAGACTAAATTGAGGTCTTCCGATTCGCAGGCCGACACTCAAGCACCCTGCAAACATGTCTCATAAGCAGCCTCACAACATAACTCCCAACTAAAGTGTTCCCATCTCTCCTGTTCCCTCACTGCCACTCAACACACACACATATCCACACACACACACGCTACCCTCCTATAGATAAGAATGTCTGAATAACCAACAAAGACAATGTATTTACAAGAAAATATTGCCTTAAGCACCAAAGGATTAGATTCTAGACCCACGAGAAACAGCCAAATGACAAAGACCAGAAGGACCTCTCTAAAACATCCCTTGGTAAGAAACTTACAAGACAGGTGGGAGCAGGTCCTTGCTTTAAGCTCACTAGCTAAAGCACACAAATGAAATTAATCTCTAAAATTGAACATATAAAAAAAGGAAGCCCAACAAATGACACACCTCTTTTTCAGTACAATTTCATGAAAGCATTTTTAAAGGCCCTACAAGCAGCCAGTCTTTAAGGGACCAGTGGCCATCTCAATGCCCTAAGTGCCCCTTCCAAACTCCAGCTATTTTTACTCCAAAATATATAAAAGGATGTTTAATACAAATAAAATCTATGTTCATGTACATCCTCAGTAAGGAACAAAATATAAAGAAATGCCTACCCCATTGAAAGCACCAAGACTGCATTCACCGAGTCTCAAAGCATCTCCTTCCCACTGGGTAACTACTAATCACAAAGGCAAATAGAGTAACTTGACAGTGGAGAAACCTGGAAGATGCCACCTTCACGTGATCAAGGTTAACATCACCAGTGATAAGACACATCAACATCACGTATCCCCAGGAAGGATGCGCTGAGGGCTTATCATCTCTGGCAATCCTGCCAAAAATTCATATGCTCCACCTAATCACAAAAAATGTCAAAAACCTAAATTGAGGGACGGCCTACAAAATAACCGGCCAGAAGTCTTCAAAATGTCAAGGTCGTGGAAGGCTAAGGAATAGTATCAAACTAAAGGAGACTGAGGAGACAAGGCAACTAATCACCACATGCAATCCTGGATCGGATGCCGGACAGGAAAAGGACACTGGTGAGCCAACTGACAACATCTGCAGATGAGATAATAGCATCATAAAATACTTCCTCATTTTGATAATTACACTCTGGTTATTTAAGATGTTAACATTTAGGAAATCTGAGTTAAGGGTATTATAAGAACTTTTTTGTACCATTTTTGCAACTTTTTATAAATCTGAATTAGTTTAAAATGTAAAATGGCTCCCCCCTTCATGGAAGCAGATTTAGTCTGTAGTTACATCACCACCTCACTGGCATCTCTCCAACACTGCAACATAGCTCTCTCACAGCTCTGGGGGAAGCCACATACCTGAGATTATCATCAGCTCCCCCAACCACCACCAAGCTGTTCTCAGCCCGAATCTTCTCCCGGAAATCTTCCATGGCTTCGGGATGACACTGCAAGGAATTCTGCCCAATGACAAAGAGGACTGGAGTCTTCATATCCAAGAGGGGATCATCCACATCCTAAAACATGTACAGGTTTTATAATCAGCCAGTTCCTGTTCACTGAGCACTGACCTGTCAAGTCCGCTGAGGGGAGTCAGCTGGGCAACTGCAGTCGCTAAGTGCTGGTTTGGGTGACGCACATACCCCCTTATTCTCACCAGCCAGTGACCCAGCAATCAGCTGCACCCCATGCTTACCCCTCTGGGACCATCCACGGTAAGTAAAGGAAACCCAAGGCAGACAACTGCAGTGACGTACTCCATCACTGACACCTGGAAATAATAAAATAGTTTGTCTCAAGGTCAACTGACTTTACTGCAGCTACACCCTACCCAGAGTCGAGAGGTGGTCCAGATCTACCAGCCAGTCCCATCTCTTCCTCCCCAGTCCTAATCCCCAGGAGTACCAGCCATAGTGGCAGCAGTAAGATCACAAGACACAAGATCCCAGGACACAAGATGGAGCCCTGCAAGAACTGCAGCAGAGGGCTGAACCGCAGGATGGGAAGCTCAATGCTTCCATCCTATTAATTTCCTAGACTTGAGTCCTCCTATTCACTTTTTCCTCCACTAACATAGCAAATGCAATCAGGAGGACACAAATGTTGCTCTTCTTCCTTAAGCAAAGAAAATCTCTCCCTTTTGAATCCAATGGTTAGCTCCCAGACACTCCAAATTTGTTAGAGCAGCTGCTGACTGAATTCTCTCATTCCCAGGACCAGGGAGTGTGGGGAGACTGCCTCCTTCCTCTACTGGCCCTAGAATGTCATACTTGACCAGACCACATGAAGCAGCAAGGACTCCACTTATTTGACCCACTTGAGAACTGGGGCTTTGGACAGGTCAGGGACACTTATACAAACTAATGTACGTACAAATATATGTAAAATAATAAAGAAAAAATTCCTTGATGTCTTAGAAAGGGACAGAATATTAACACAACATCAAATTCCAAAGCTGCTAAAATTTATGCCTGCTTTTTTAAGGTGGGAGAAGAGTACTTATGTTTAGGGGTGGGGAGGAATTTTTTTCAGAGATACACGCTGAAATACATATATATATATAACATAAATGATATTTGGGATTTTCTTCAAAATAATTGGAGGAGAAAGTGGGCAGGGGTAAGATAAAAGTCTGGCCATGAGTTAATCACTGGTAAAGCTGGGTGAGAAGCCCACAGGATTTATTATATGTCTGTTCGCCCTTTAAGTTTCGTATTCTATCCCAAGACAGCCTCCAAGTGAGATGGGAATTACTTACGTGACAGGCCACCAGAGCTCCTGTATTCCAGCCAATCAAGATGATGGGTTTGTGGGGGAAATGGCTGTGAATCTTTGTGGGAAGAGAAAGAAGACAGTAAGACAGGAGGCCACAGCCGGGTGCAAAACAAGCCCAGCATGCTGGGTGTGCCACAATGACCTGAAACAAAGGCACTCTCACCTCCAGCACTTTGCTTCTCACTGCCCCAATCATATGCTCAAGACACTGCAGAACTCCTACCCCACTACCATTGTTCAGCAGATGGGTGGCTACGGGGATGACCTAAAGGAAAGAAAGTGGCAGCCATGCCAGCAGAGATTAAGTTTCAAATCTTCTCTCAATTCTGCTTAACCTACCCTAAATCCCTTCAACCTTGGATAAGTACCATTCCAATTAAAAACAGAAAGAGTGGGGGCGGGGGATGCTCATCACTTAAGTCCATCTATTTTGTCTCCCTCCCACATTCTGTGTGCTCAGTCTTCCAAGACTCTATTCCAACCCAGGAGACAGTTCCTCTTATTCCCACACATACCTTGCCTAAGCAGGAGAGCTGAGACTGCCAGAAGCGGTGGCGGCGTGAGGTGGGGAACACGGAGCTAGAAGGCCCGGAGGAGGCAATGAGAATGAGAGGAGAGCCAGGGAGCTTGCTCTAAGGAGAAAGAACCCCAACAGAGAACCAGTGAGGGTGAGGTGTTACTCCACAAAATCTCAAGTATCCCAATACCTTTCTTACCCCAACCAATGCCAATTTCCTTATGAAACTCTGCTAAGCACTATACACAACCAGTTATTAATGAAAAGTTAAGTCATTTATTATCTTCTTGCTAAGGTTCTGAGACTGGATTCTAAAAATTTTGTGGGTCATAGTTAAGTCTTGAGTTGCTCTGACTTACTGGTTTGTTATGAGAAAGTACCCCCACAGCAGGATCCCAGGGCCTCTTCAGCAGGAGGGACAAGGCCTCAGCTCCTGCAGCCCCAGTCTTCGTGTTAGATGACACAAGCATCCGGTCAATCAAAGTAGGGATCTAGAAGTAAAAGCAAAAATGTTTCCAGTGCGAAGCAGACCTGCCCACTAGCAGGAATCAGGTGGGAAGTAAGAGAGTGATTAAGCAAATTATCCACAAAACTAGATATTAAGGGTTAATTTAAAATATTTCAAAGAATTTGTAATAAGGAAATAACTTTGCTAAATTTAGTTAAAGAAAAAATAGAAAACATAAAAAATTACCTCTACTCAGAAAAAATGCCATTAGAAAATACACCAAAATATTAATAGTTATCTTTATGGAGTTATGGACAGCTTTTTCCTATTCATTTTTTTTTTAAGATTTTATTTATTTATGCCAGAGAGAGACACAGCAAGAGAGGAAACAGCAGGCTCCCCGCCGAGCAGGAAGCCCGATGAGGGGCTCAATCCCAGAGCCCTGGGATCATCACCTGAACCGAAGGCAGATGCTTAACGACTGAGCCACCCAGGCACCCCCAGTTTTTTCCTTTTTTAGATTTCTGTATTTCCTAAACTTCCTCAATGAACATCAGTTGACTTTATAAATTTAAAAAAAAAAAAAATCTGCATTTTCTTCTAGAGTATTGCCTTCAAGCTTTGGCATGTTAAAGAAATTGTTACTGTGCCCAAAATAATATATCCTATGTATTGTGTATATTGTGATTTATACCATATCCTATTTTTCACTATTTACCAGAAAATGTGACCTCACAGATGTTTAAGTATAGGTTTCTGACATGCTGATGCTTACGCTGAGAATAAATATCTCTGTGAAAAAAAAAAAAGAAAGAAATATCACTGTGAATCCACATTACGCACAAAAGGTCAAAGTGACATAGGGGAAAGGAAAGATTTTTGAATGTTAAAGGTACTCTTCAGAAAAAACAAAAACAGGGCACCTGGGTGGCTCAGTTGGTTAAGCGTCTGCCTTCGGCTCAAGTCGTGATCCCAGGAGGGAGCCTGCTTCTCCCTCTACTCCACCCTCCCGTTTGTGATTTCTCTCTCTCTCGGATAAATAAAAATCTTTAAAACAAAAACATTCTGAAAAACCAGAGAATGAAAAGTACTATGGTGATGCAGGTTGTAGAAAGTCAGCCCAGAGCTAACACCATACCCAACTGTGAAAAGCTAAGAGCTTTTACTCTAAGATCAGGAACAAGATAAGGATGCCTACTCTTACCACTTCTATTCAACATTGTATTACTATTAGTCCTAGCTAGAGCAATTAGACAAGAAAAATAAAAGGAATCCAGATTAGAAAGGAAGAAGCAAAACTAACACTATTTGCAGATGACATATTCTATATAGAAAACCCTAAAGACTCCACCAAAAAGCTGTTAGAACTAATAAACAAGGGGTGCCCGGGTAGCTCAGATGGTTGAGCATCTGCCTTTGGCTCAGGTCATGATCTCAGGGTCCTGGGATCGAGCCCCACATCAGGCTCCTGGCTCAGTGGGGAGTCTGCTTCTCCCTCTCCCTCTGCCTCTCCCCCTGGTCATGCTCTCT